GCTGGATCTCATTCACATTTTATGCATGTCTCAACTTCCAGTCCCTCCCCATCTTTGCTGTCTTTACAATACAGTCTTCTGTTCAGACATCAGTTTTAGATGCATGTTGTGTAATCTGCTTTCAAGGAACTGTGGCGGCTTTCTTCACTCTGCTGCCCTTCAGCTGTTTGTTGACAATTCTGGGAAGCGTAATCTCAAAGACAGTTGGAGGACAGATTGACAGCTGAGAGACAGGATAATGAACCTGGGAGACGCTGTTGGGACTTGAAATCCCTCAGAAGAAACACGGTTAGAAAATTCCTCTAGGAATGTCAAACTTGATTTCATTGAGGGCCACATCATGGTTGCTCTGAGGGACAGTGGGGGCATAGCTGTGGGCGAGGCCATGGTAGGCATGACACAGGACTCATGTCAGGGGGGCACCTGTGGTGGCCAGGTGCTAAGGCAGGACTTCCCTGAGACCCTCCTTCCCTCTCATTATAATCTTCCTTCCTTCCTTCCTTCCTTCCTTCCTTCCTTCCTTCCTTCCTTCCCTCTTCATTCTCCTTTCTTCTTCCTTCCCTTCTTTCCTTCTTTTTCCTTCCTTGCTCTCTTCCCATCTTTCCTTCTTTTTCTTTGCCTTTCCTTTTTCCTTTTCTCTTTTTGCTCAAATGCAAAAGGGGAGATATTTCTCCTTTTGTTTTGTTTTGTTTTCAGTTTGTTTTGATAGCCCTCTGCCAGTGAAAACGGAACATGTGGGGGGGGGGGCATTTGCAGCTCCCCACAGCCTGTTTTTTTCTGGCAGAGGCACCGTGGGCTGGTCCTTTGCTGTTTCCAAGGCTGCTCCATGGGCCAGACCTAACCACCCTTGAGTTTGACACGCCTGCTCTAGAAGAAACGATTTATTTAAGGTATATTTCGTCTGACCAATCCCCTTACCTAAACTCTGAAACAGTCTTCTGAGAAAATCCATATTTAATGGCACAGCAAAATTATTTAAATACACCCACCCGCCCCCTCTTTTCCATTTATAGCTTTTAGTCATGTTGCATCATCTGTTTTTCTTAGTTATTTTTGTTGCTTGTACATTTGTATTGCTTCTTTTCTTCCATTAGCTAGCATTGAGGGATGTTCGCCCTTTAAGGGTTCTAAGGTGATTTCACATTCTTACTTTTCCTTTTTTTTTTTTTTTGGTTGTTTCTTAATCTAGCTTTCTACAAATAAAATGTCCTCTGATTTGGTGGTGGGATTCAAATATTTTTACCACCGGTCCGGTGGGCGTGGCACACTTTGCGTGCGTGCACCAAACGCGCCCTTTGAACAAGCACAAAGGCCTTTGCACAGGCGCAGAGGCGTTCTAACTTGCCTCCTGCAAGCCTGCACGATCCCGGTCACTTCAGCAGCTGCCGCACGGCACTCTTCTGTGCCGCGCAAAGCAGCTGCGCTTCAAATTCAGAGGATAAAGGTGAATATGGAAGCCCAGGTGGGCGGGTGGGCCCAACAGCAGAACAGTGGAGAGAAGCGGTTCCATCTCTGCTGCTCATCGCCGCTACCGGCTCGGCAGAACAAGGCCAAACCGGTCGAATACCAACACTGCTCTGACTCCATTGAAGAAATCCTCCTATTTTTGGGCTCCCCAACCAAATTCACTCCAGCTAAGGAAAGCCTGGTTTGCCTCTTCAAAAAAGCAAATTATCACCAGGTTTTTTTGGTCTTGTGAACGGTTCAGATACACGTAGTCCTTGACTTTCACTCCACAACCGATGCCCCAAATTTATGTTGCTAAACAAAACACTTTCTGGAGTTTTGCTCCATTTTACGACCATTCTTGTCATCGTTGTTAAGGGAATCACTGCAGTTGTTACATTAGTCACACACTTGTTATGTGAATCTGGCTTCCCCATTGACTTTGCTCATCAGAAGTTCGCAAAAGCGAATCATATGACACTCCCCCCCCCCAGGGACCCTGCAACCGTCATAAATATGAACCAGTTGCAAAGCCTCCGAATTTTGATCATGTGACCGAGAGGATGCTGTAATATGTTGTAAGTGTGAAAAATGGTCACATATATTTTTTTCAGTGACATCGTAACTTTGAACGGTCATTAAATGAACTGTTGTAAGTCAAGGACTACCTGTATGTGGATTTTGATGCCCAGAATTCTCAGCAATGGTGCGGTTGGGAATTGCGGAGATGGGGATCTTAATAACTTATGTGATGAAAGAAACTTGCCTTTGATATGGGAAAGCTTTGCTTTCTTTTCTTTGTTTTAAGGTGAAAAAACGTTTTTTGGGGTCAGCAAATGCTTTTTTTTTAGCCCTGATCTTTATACACATGTGTGCTTGGGTGGATTTGGGAAAGATATATTTAACCAAAAAGAAAAATCCCCCCCCACCCCCGCTTGACCAATCCTGGCTTCGAATGTATGAAAATTAAAGTTGACTTTCTTTGACATTTTGATGTATCTATTTGGTTTGCATGTTGTAAATATTAGTGAGGCCCAGAAAAAAATCTGGATTTCAGTAAGAAAAATCTATTCTGGCAAAGTTTTGGGAAGACGTCAGTGTGCATTTTCTGTATGGCAGAGATTCCCAGAGGTTTCTATATACCGTATATACTCGAGTATAAGTTGACCCGAATATAAGCCGAGGCACCTAATTTTACCATAAAAAAACTGGGAAAACTTATTGACTCGAGTATAAGCCTAGGGTGGGAAATGCATCAGCTACTGGTAAATTTCAAAAATAAAAATAGATACCAATAAAATTACATTAATTGAGGCATCAGTAGGTTAAATGTTTTTGAATATTTATTTCAAAGAAAAAGAGTAAACTAGCTCTGTAAGTGGAAAAGAGAGTCAACAAAACCAATATGGTATCAACAATAACTTTAAAAGTACAAAAACCTTAGCTCAATCAGCAACCAAGCTGAAACACAAGAGTTAAAATCCTTCAAAACTGGATTCCTCATCATCATCTGTATGTCCAAACAGAGCTTCAACTTTATCTGGTGTGAGGCTATCAGCATAGACATTGTCGTCATCCCTGAGTTCGCAGCCATCACCATCACTGCTGTCGTTCTCATACAAAGCGCTGTCTTCACTGCCATCCATAGCATTACTAATGCCACATTTCTTGAAGGCACGTTGCACCATGTCCTGTGGAATCTCTTCCCATGCATCACGAACCCGCTTTGCTATTAATTCTATGTCGGGCTTCATCAGATTTCCAACTTTTGTCAATCGGGCTTGGCCAGATGACATCCATTCAAGCCACATTTTTCGCACACGATCTTTGAAAGGTTTGTTTAAACACACATCTACGGGCTGCAATACAGATGTAAGCCCACCTGGAATAACGGCCAAAGTAACTTGAGAAGACTTTGCCATTTTTTTAATGTCATCAGATGTGTGGGCTCTGAACATATCCCAAACTAGCAATGATGGTTTTTTTTCTTTAAGGCTGTTCCTGGACGTCCATTCCAAATTTCTTCCAGCCATTTTTTTGTTCCGTCTTCATCCATCCAGCCTTTAATATGTGCACGCACTGTAATTCGTGGTGGTAATTTGACCTTTTTAGGCAAGGTCTTTCTTTTGAAAATAATGACAGGCCGCAGCTTAGTTCCATTAGTCAAACATGACAGAACGACTGTGAAATGGTTTTTTTCATTTCCTGTGGTTCTGAGTAAAATAGTTGCCACAGTTCTGTTGCTAGGAAGATCAAAGGTCATAGGTGTTTCACCCATATTCCCAATATCTCCCAGGTCAAAGTTATGGATCCTTTTTTGTTTTATGATGAATGAATGGAATGACATCACTTTCTCATCAAGGTCTTTTGGCAACTTCTGTGAAATCTTTGTTCTTTGCCGCAAACATGAGGCAAACCTATTCATAAAGCGGGTACACCATCCTGCTGACACAACAAAAATTTTAATGCCTGGTGCTTTTAATTTGTCATCTTTAGCCATTTGAAGGGCGCGTAAGCGAATTCCCATACATGTCACGCAGTAACCATTTTGACGACACTCCATAACCCATTTATGCAATTCAGTCTCTAGAGCTTCGTATGAAGTCGTTAAACCACGTCGAGCTTTTTTTGCCTTTGGAATCTTTTCCAAGTCAGCTTTCATTTTCCGCCAGTCCCTCACTTGTTTTTCGTCAACACAAAATTCCCTACTTGCAATACTGTTATTGCTCTCTTCTGCTCTTGACACAACCTTAAGTTTGAAACCAGCTTCGTATGACCTGCGTTTTTGTTTTGGTCCAGGTTTAGAAGTATTGGGATCCATTTCTAACAGGATTAAAAAAAAAAAGACTTTGAAAACTTTTGAACGTACTAGGCCGTGCTGCGTTGAAAGCCTGCTACAGTACCAGTACTTCTTCTATTTGCTCTCTGTTCGCAAGCTCTAGCTGTAAACATCCATCCATTGCTGTATGGGATTTCAGTAACTGCTAAGCTTGCAAGAATGATGAAAGGAAAAATATACTGCAAGCTCACGTCCATCGGCTTATTGTGGTAACGGGAGACTGTTAAAGTCTCTGGAATCCGTTTCGCTGGTTATCCGTGCTGGGCTGACGACACAGATGCTGGTAAATCCTCCAATCAGAGGTCGCCCTGTTCCCTGTGCGCAAAACACTGCACTTGTAGCAAGGGGGTGAGCGATAGATAGAGGCTGAGCCGGAGACCGGAGCTATGAGGCAGCCAGTGCGGGCTCCACACCTGGCTATACAGTGGAGGCATAGGTAAGAGCGGCATGGCGTGCTGTACATCTGACACCCCATATACCACGCATCAGCATATTCCCGGCATGGCATGATCTGCTCACTCGAGTATAAGCCGAGGGGGGCTTTTTCAGCACAAAAAATGTGCTGAAAAACTCGGCTTATACTCGAGTATATATGGTAATGTTATTTGGGATATGAGCTCTCCCTGTGTTGAAAAGCCTGAGAGAAACATTTTTTTTTCTATTAGAGAGAGTGTCCCCATTAAGTCTTCTCTTTTCTTCCCTTGTCAGCAGCGTTTTCAGAGACTGGTTAATTTTTTTCACTGGGTTTGAAACCCTTTGCCTGAAGAGTCTCTTTGAACTTGGAAGAAAACAGTGCTCTTTTTCATCCAACAAAATTTTATATATATATATTTGGAGGCATCTCATTTAGCTTGTGGACTTCCTTGGGATCCAGTGATGGAGATGCTTCTGGGACTACTCTTTCTGTTTGTGGACATTTTGGGATCCAGAGTTACTGATGAATCCTTGAGAACTGAAGTTCTTGAACTCATGGCGGCATCTCGGCTTATCGATGGGTATGTGGACTTCCTTCCTTTCTTGCAGGCATATAACAGCAAAGCCATGATTTGACCAGAATCATTGTGGCTCAGTGGTTAAGACACTGGGCTCATCAGCTGGAAAGCTGGCAGTCCAGATTCAAGAACTCGAGCACCATACAATGGGATGAGCTCCAGTTCCTTGCCTCAGCTCCTGCTCGCCTCGCAGTTCAAAAGCATGCAAATGTGAACAGATTCATAAGTACCACTCTAGTGGGAAAGTAACCATGCTCCATGATGTCATGCTAGCCACAAGGCCAAGGAAATGTTTTCAGACAGAGCTGGCTCAATGGCCTTGAAATGGAGATGAGCACAGCACCTATGGTTGACGTATTCTGATAACTTTCTGTTCGTTTTCTCTCCTTCCATCTTTGAGTCAGTGTTGAGTAAGTAGTAAGTAAATATGGACTCCTTGCGACATCTAGGAGTTTCTTGGCAGCTTTTTCAGAAGTGGATCGCCACGGCCTTCTCCCTAAGGCTGAGAGAGAGGGATTGACCCGAGGTTATTCAGTTGGCTACACTAAACTCACTTTCTTTAATACTTGGCTTTTACCGAAGGCTGTACATGTCGATCAGTTTGCACAAGGGGATATAATGGCAATAATTGTATTGAGAGCCAGTTTGGAGTACTGGGGAAGGTACCAAGCAAAAACCAGGGGACTGTGAGTTCTAGTCCACCCAAAGCCAACTGGATGGCCTTGGACCAGTCACTTTCTCTCAGCCCTAGGAAGGAAGGAATGGCAAACTATTTATGGGAAAAAAAACTTGCAAAGAAAACTACAGGGACCTTTTCCAGCAGTTGCCTGGAATAAAGACTAGCTTAAAGGCAGAACAAAAATGTATTCTGCTAATTAAGACAACTTTAAGCTCTGTCTCTGGAGCGTCCCATTTCTACTACTCCAAAATTTCTCAGTCTATATAAAAGAGCATCTCAGATGATCATTATTTTCAGAACGGTGTCCTTGACTTTTCTATAATCAACCCTCAAGCATCAGAGCACACTTCAAAATGATTTCTATCATGTCTTTCCCCATTTCTTGTTTTAGGTCAGGGGTCGCCAACCTCTTGGACATCAGGGACCACCAAACTCATAATTTTAAATCCCGCAGACCAGAGACCCTGGGAAAATCCCTCCAAAAAAAATCTGCAGGAAAATTCCACACCCCATTTTCCTACCAATCAATCATTCATTATTTGGGATTGCAGGATACCGTCTTCAGCTCCATTCTCAGGGTGAGGGAGAGAGAGAGAGACTTTTGGTTTCATGCAAGGAAAGCAGCAGAAGCAGCAGAAGTCTTTCTTTCTCTCCCCCAAACTCCACCAGAAATGAGTCTTTGTAAGACTTGTCACACTGGCGCAGCCTCTTGGGGCAGGAGGTCTGGCAGGGTCCCAAAGACTCATTTCTGGTGGAGTTTGGGGGAGAGAAAGAAAAACTTTTAATCAGAAATGACTTCTTCAATGTTTAGGAAGAGGGGAAAAAATGTCCAGTTTGCAACCCTTTCAAAGAACCCTTTCTTGTAGTAGATTAAATTTTCATGTGCCGAAAAAAGTAGCTCTTCAGTCCTAGGTCAGCCTTTAGGGAAGATGGCAATCCTCCGTCTTATCTTTCAGACACAACGATCTCCCCATGAAATTAAGATGGCTTCACCAGAACAAGCTAAGCACAATTGATTTGAAGAAACTCAGCAATACCAACACAAACATTCAGAAGCTCCAAGCTGGCCATGTTGGGGTGCAGGTAAGTGCTACCTGAGTTTCAAGCTAAGCCAGGAAGAAGTAGATACATGCCAGAATGGAGGTTGGTCAGTGTGAGAAGAAATATCCATCTGGTTCAGTTCCAAGTCAGGAGAAAGACATTGGAAACATGGATTGGAAAGATGGTTTAATGACGAAGCAGAACCATCAAGCACATGGTCCTAGTGCAACTGACCACATGGAGTTGAGAGTGGGGGGTATTTATATTTTCTCTTGGGCTTTGCACTTGAACTTCCTGTTCCTATGCAAGAACATGTGTTCTATTGGTTGTTGTCAGACTCCCATAGGACCATGTAGGAATCATGTTTGTCGGAGCTAGTTTGGTTGAAGTGTGCTGGGCGATGCAATGTCCCCAGTTGATTGTGACATGTGATAAGCTCTGCTGTTAGATGGGTTAATCCTAACAGATAACAGATAATCAGAGTTGGAAGGGACCTTATAAGTCATCTCTCCCCACCCAAGCAGGAGGCCCTACACCACTTCTGACAAATGGCAGTCCAGTTTCTTCTTGAAAGTCTCAAGTGATGGCGTCCCACAACTTTTGAGAGCAACTTCTGTTCCATGGGTTGATTGTTCTCACGATCAGAAAGTTTCTTCTTATTTCCAGGTTAAATCTCTCCTTGTTCAGTTTCCATCCATTATCCCTTGTCTGGCCTACAGGCACTTTAGAAAATAGCTTGACCCCTTCCTCCTCTCTGTGGCAGCCCCTCAAATATTGGAAGATTGCTGCCAGGTCTCCCCTGGTCCTTCTCTTCACTAGACTATCCATGCCCAGTTCCTGCAACCATTCTTCATATGTTTTAGTCTCCAGTCCCCTAATCATCTTGATTGCTCTTGTCTGTACTTTTTCTAGAATCTCAATATCTTTTTTATAATGTGGTGACCAAAACTGGATACAGTACTCTAGGTGTGGTCTTACTAAGGCTTTATGGAGTGGTATTAGTACCTCCCTTGATCTTGATTGTATCCCTCTGTTAATACAATTTAGGATTGCATTACCGAATTATTATTATTAGCTTTTTTGGCTGCTGCTGCATCCTATTATGTCCTGGGGGGCATGTCTTAATCCCATCACCCTGGAGCTGGAGGTCTTTTGTCTTGTAGATAGACTGGCCCTGTCTTTCTTATCACCATCATGCTGGAGGCAGGGAGCTGCTTTCTGTCTTTAAAACATGTTTCTTCTTTTATCATCCAGGGAAATATAATATTTTGCCCTTTTAATATTTCTCAAACGGTTTCATTCTTCTAGCAGAGGGGTGAGTGCTAACTTTCTACACCAGCATTGGTGAAAAAACTTGGTGTTTCACATGATGCAAAGAAGCGAAGTATTGAATGGATAGCAGCAGTTGCTATCTTTACTGGTTTGTTCGATTTTTATCCTGCCTTTATTACTTTTTGTAAATAACTCAAGGTGACAAACATAGTTTATACTCATTCCTCCTCCTCCTCTGTTCTAAACCTTCACAGTTTTGGTCGGTGTACGTTCTCTGCAGTGCACAGAACAAAGACGCTGTACGTTTGACACTAGAACAAATTGATGTGGTCAAACGAATGTGTGAAGACTATGAAGAGCTGGAATTGCTGACATCTTCAGAGGGTAAATTTTGCTTCCCTTGCTCAATGGAAGAAACTTTAGGCAAAAATATAAGAGATAAGAAACATGCTGTGATGACCCAGGGCCACGGAAAAATGTCACCCCCCCAGAGCACCCCCCCAAAGCAATTAATCCAGGCTGCACGGGAACACAAGGCTGAGCCACCCACATGGCCCGCTGAAACCCTCCCCGCCCACTCACTCCTTACCCGGCAAACTTGCCTGTTAGGTTGCTATTTTTCCTTTTTTTTTCTCTCTCTGACCATCAACTGTTCTGCCGTGCTGGGAGATTTAGATTAGCTAGAAAGCAGGAAACCATTGTATTTTTTGCTTTCTAACTAATCTTTAGATCTTCAGTTCTGCTTTTAAGCAGAGCTGAACCTTCCTTAGGAGTGAAGTTTCTATTATTCAGTGCAGACTCAGGTAGCCAATTTTTTTAAATAAAAAAATTCAATATTTCCATACATGGTGTGTTGTGAGTAATTTTGTGAGTTTGCTTGGTAGCAAATTTTATGAGTTTGCTTGCAAGCAAATTTTATTTGACAGACTCGGGTAGCCGATGGCAGAAAGATAGATCTCTGAGTGAATCTGTGATTCTGTGAGCAATTGAATCTGCCTGCCTGCTTTGCCTGATTTTGGGTAAAAGTTGCTCTTTTTTATGAAAAAAATCAATATTTACATAAATATTTATAATACTTACATACAAGCCACGCCCAGCCAGACACATGACCACCAAACCGCACCCACAAATTTGGCCACGCCCACAGAACCAGTTGTTAAGAAATTTGAATCCCACCTCTGTGTGTTTGTATGTGTGTGTGAGAGAGAGAGGGAGAGGGAGAGAGAGAGGTTAGATCAGATTTCTCCCTCCCTCCCTCTCTCCCTCTCTCTCTCTCTCTCCCACCAACATCAGCAAGCCACTGTCAGTCAGAATTCATATTAGTGGTCCCCGGGATTTAAAATTATGAGTTCAGTGGTCCCTGAGGTCCAAAAGGTTGGTGACCCCTGCCATGGAGGATAGGAATGCTTGGTAGATAGGGAGAGCAACTCTACCTATGGTCCTTATCCATATGACATGTTGGAATTCCAGGGATGAGGAATATCCTCTTATCCAGCCTTACATTCCAACCAACACTTATTGGGCCATGCGTATGTTGAAATTGTGCTAGTTTTTATACAGGTAGTCCTTGACTCACAACAGTTCACAATTACAACGGCACTGAACCCCCATGATGACGTGATCAAAATTCACATGCAACTGGTTCCTGTGTATTTATGATGGTTGCAGTGTTCTGGGCTCATGCAATCCCCTTTTGTGATCTTCTGACAAGCAAAGTCAATGGAGGAAGCCAGATTCACTTAACAACCGGGTTGCTAACTTAACAACCACTGTGAGTCACTCATCAACCGTAGCAAGAAAGTTCGTAAAATCAGGCAAAACTCACTTAGCAAGTGTCTCCCTTAGCAACAGAATTTTTGGGCTTCAATTGTGGCCAAACGTCGAGGACTGCCTGTAAAACAGCCTCTAAGTGAGGAGTGTCCAACCTTGGCAGCTTTAAGAATTGTTGTGATGACCCGGGACGTGGCACAAAGGCAACTCAGCCAGAGAATAAGTATGGGTCCCTTTATTAGCTCCAACTTTGGCCCCAATGTTCCAGTTACCTTCCGGTCTGGAGAAAAAACTCTCCCACGAACCTGCAACAGCCTTTGGCTGCAGATATTCCAATCCAAATGTGGTAAACATAAAAAATTAAATTATAAATCCAACAAGGCAAAATAAGGTAATAAATCTGGCAGGGCAAGAGAAGGAGTTCCAGAAGTAAAATAACATGGCAGTAAATCAAACCTGTTGGGAGGATGCCAGGAACTAAGATAACAGCAGCCAACATGAGATAAACTCAATGTTTGTTTCCGACAAACGCTCATCCAAACTGGTTCTCCTTTAAACTCTATCCCCAGGTGTGCCTTGTGAAGGGAATCAGGGCCCTCTCCTCCCTCGTAAGCCACGCAACCCACATTGCTCTCTTCTCTGTTCCTCCCTGTGCACCCTAGGATGAGGAGGGGGTGAGCCTTGGTCTTCATCTGAACCCCTTCTCCCTTGTTCTACCTCATCTCTGCTCTGCCCAGCCTGACTTTGACCTTCCCCAGTTTCCTCCACAGCCACACTCTCCTGCTCCCTGTCAGCTGTTCGTCTTCCTCCTCGGATTCAGACTTCGATGTGGGGGGGCGGGGGGCATAACAGTTGTGGACTTCAACTCCCAAAATACCCCAGCTGCCTGGCTGGGGAATTCTGGGAGTTGAGAAGTCCATAAGTCTTAAAGTTGCCCAGGATGGCCACACCAGCTTTAAACTATGGGTTTCTTCTGATGATCTGTCTTTTAAACTAAAGAATGTGCTGTTTCTGTTTCAACTCCAGGCATTGAGAATCTTAGCCACACTAAGATAGGATGCTTGATTGGCATTGAAGGTGGTCATTCCATTGATAGCAGTCTGGCCACCTTGAGGATGTTCTACGATCTGGGGGTTCGCTACATGACTTTGACGCATATGTGCAACACTCCCTGGTAATTCACAGACAAATGTTATTTCAGAGATGGGTTGTTATGACAGCTGCCGCTGTTGCTTTAAATAATACGTTTGTATAGTTTAAGACTATGAATTGCAGGTAGTCTATGACTTACAACCATTCATTTAGGGATCATTCGAAGTTACAACGGCACTAAAAATGTGATGTATGGCCAGTTCTCACACTTGTGAACGTCATAACATCCTCACAATCACACAATCAAAATTTGGGCCCTTGGCAACCAGCATCTATTAACAACTAGCTCTATAACCATGCTTCACTATGAAACTATGTGATCGGGCTTAGTTTTTGGGGAGGAAAATAAGGGGGGGGGGAAATTGTGCCTCTGCCTACCGGCATCCATTAGTATTCACCTGGCTAGTGTGCTGTCAGTATGTGAGAGAGTTGAGGGCTGTTTGGAAACTGAAGCAGTATTTGCTGTGTGAACAAGAAGGAGATAGCAAGGAGCCTGGGCATGGCTTAGCTGAACTGTTCTGTACTAAAGCTGCTGTGAAACTAAAACTGAAACTCCTCTCCTCTGCTCGTGTTTTGCATTTGGAACAGATTTCTTTTCAGGTGGGGAAGGGGAGTAGAACTCCTTAGCATCAGATTATGTTAATAATATACCAAATACTAATGCTCTGATGGTCATTTTGAAAAATCCTTTCTTAGTGAGCACTTAGAAGCCAAGAGGAACCAAATTTCAAGTTTGTAGGCTTTATGGTTCTGGAGATTTTGTGATGATGTGTGAGTGGTATTTTGCTTTTATATATATTAACAATTGATGGCAGTATCCCTAGGATTACTTGATCATGATTTAGGACTTTCCCAGTTGGCTTTCGACAAATAAAGTGTGGTAGAGGGAAATGGGAGGTGGTTTTCAAAAAACGTGAAAAATAAAATTAAACAGATAAATAATAGAGGAAGTTGGATTCTCTTAATGAGTTGGTGATTCACGTAACAACTCCAGTGGTTTTTGGCAAAAAAAGAAGAAGTCATAAAATCAGGTACAATCCTATTTTAGATAAATTAAATGGATGAAGTCTGGAATTTATTGGAGGAAGGATTACACAAAAATATGATTAATAAATATGACTCTTTTATTTGTACGGTACATTTAAGAATACTGTTAAAATTCCTGAGTATAGTACTGTTAAAATTCAGAGCTGAAGAAGCTTCTTGGATGAGAAGCGAAACGTCTTCAAAGAAAAAAACCAGAAAGTCCAGTTGTCTCTTGAAAAAGGAATCTTTGGGACAAGCATGATCTGTAGGACTGAGAATCTTCATAGACATGTTAAAATTCCTGTTTAAGCATTGGAATATTTTCATGACACTTTTCCAACCTTTGATTTGAATACCTTTCAACCTTTCATTTGAGTAAAAGTCCTTATTTTTGTTTATTTTTAGGGCCGAAACGTCAACGAAAGGCAAACATAATTTCTATCCTGGTGTTAAAGGCTTGACTCCTTTTGGCATCGTAAGAGAAAGTTTTAAGTGTAACTTAGCAAGTGACTTGAACTGATATTGTCCCTCTGACGTCCTCTTATGTAAGGGAGATCTGGGAATTAATCTACAAGGGTGTCTTGACGAGAATCCACCATAATCAGTATTTAATTATGATGAAGATTGTGGTGTATATGCAGGGGTGGGATTCAAACATCCCAGCAACCGGTTCGCTGCCCGGTTGCTGGGTGGGCATGGACATGGTGTAAGTGGCCTACTGGAATTTCTGGTAGCACCATTTTTCACCTTCCTCAGGGTCCAGAGGTTTTCCTTGAGCCTCTGGGCGGGCAAAAATGGCCTCCCCTGGGATCCGGAGGCTCACCGGAAGCTGGAAACAGGCCTGTTTCCACACTTCCGGAAGGCCTGTTTCCCCCCGCCCTCCCAGAGCCTCTGTGTGGGCCCTGTCCTTACTTGCATCCAAAACAGGCCACATGGAGACCCCTGAAAGGAGAGGGGAAAGGTGGGCTGTCAGTTCAACTACTAGTTTGGCGAACCAGATGTAAATTTAACATCCAGTTTGCCCAAACCGGTCCAAACTGCCCGAATCCCACCCCTGTGTATATGCAATCAAGTTGTTGACTCTTAGAGAGTACATAAATAGATCATCTCCACAAAGATCTGTCCATAATCGGTCTTCAAAACTTCCAACAGTGCATCTGTCATTGACATTACTGCCAATTGTCCTCTTCTTCTCTTTCCTTCCACCTATGCCAGCATCAAAGCCTTTTCCAGAGAGCTAAGTCTTGGCATAATAGGTCTGAAATAAGCCTTGTCTACTTCACATAGTGTGAGCCTGGTCATTTGTGCCTCAAGTGAGACTTCTCAATTCATTTGTTTGGTGGTCCATTGGTTGGCTGGGTAATTCTGGGTGTTGAAGTCCACAGGTCTTAAAGCTGCCAATGTTGGACATTCCTGCTCTGAAGAATTCTTCCTATTAAGTGAAAATCTCCTTGGAGAGATTGTATAGCCTGAAAGGCAGGATATAAAAGATTTTAATTGAGAAATAAATACATTATTGAGGCATTGGTTGCAGAGTTATCTGGACTTAATAACACTGCCCATTCCATTCCATTTATATCTAGGAAGCATTTTTATTCTTCTCTTTAACCAAAAGAGATCCAAAAATCTCATTAATATGAAGCCGTTCCTGTCAGGCTTACAATTTATTTCATTGTTATTTGAAGAAACACTAAGCCCAATCTTCTGTTGAGTTGAGTTAAAGATAAATTCTTCCTTCTTTCTTCTTCTATTCTTTTTGCCAATTATTCTTCCCCCAATTTCTTCCACACCCCTTAGCAACCTTTATTCTAACTCCGTCTTCCCCAACCTTCCAGCTTCCAGAAACATTTGATTTCTTCAGCATTTCTTCTTGTAGAAGATCTGCACATGGGAGAACATGCCAATCCTGACCATCTTGATTGGACATGCTGAATAGCTGTAGAATTTCTTCCCAACAAGAAAATGGAAGGCTGGAATTGGAGATGTTTTGATGGGAAGAAAACATTGAATGGCACTCAAGAAATGAATATTTTGCTATGATTTTGGGAAGGATGGTTAGGATCCCAGCTTTGTGTGCGAGAGTGTCTCTTTGTCAGTGTACCACAATATCTACTGTATTTTCTCCAGGAAGTGGTGAAGGAGATGAATCGCCTGGGAATGATGGTAGACCTATCTCACACGTCTCGTGAGACAGCAAAAAATGTTCTCAGGGTCTCCAGAGCACCTGTCATTTTCAGCCATTCTTCTGCTTATGCTGTCTGCCACAACTCCAGGAACGTTCCAGATGATATTCTCCTTAAGCTTGTGAGTCTTCTTTTCCAGATCATTATGCACTAAAGGAACATCTCCCTCAACCCTTTAAAGTCCTGGACTTCAATTATTCCTGGTCCCCTAAGTTGCCTATTGTCAAACAAAACATTGGGTTACAACCACTTGGTCTTTCTAATTTCAGATAATGCCCAAGGTTGTTGTAAGATCAAAAGGCATTCCTAGAACGATGGCTGATGGAAGATCTGGGGCCTCCAAACTTGATTCATTTCCTAAAATTCCCTAGCCAGCCAGAATTGAAGTTCACCAGTGTTAAGGGTGCCAAGTCTTGTGGTAGAGGGAAGTGGTTTGCTTTGCAACATACTACTTCTCTGATGAGTTGGGGCATCCTTGATATGCATCAAGAGAGACTTCCATAGTACATGAATTGGTTGTGGGCTCTGTGTGGCCTAATGCTGATTTTTCAGTGGATCCCATTCCACATATCTTCCCTTGACGTGGACCTATTTTTATTTTCCCCTAGAAAGTTTCTTGAAAAGTGACCCAACCATTTTAAAGAATTTCCAGACAGTTGCTATATTTGTACCCCATGTGCGCCAAAACAATTTGGGCGAATCAAATCTGAAGCATTGCACAGCCCTCGGAATGGGATGTTTGACTTATTTAATCTTTCCTTTGTTTTAGAAACAGAACCATGGAATTATAATGGTGACATTCCCTGCGAAGTTTTTTGCTCGTGACATTAATACAGTTAACATTTCAACTGTTGCAGGTTTGCAAACGTTGTGCTCTGGGGTGGGCTTCAAAAACTTTTAGCAAAGGGTTCTCTGCCCAGTTGCTGGCTGGGTGTGGCCATGGTGGGCGTGGCCTAATTGGCCTCCTGCACCGTGGGTGGGGGGTGTGTTTTTGCCCTCCCTGGGCTCTGGAGGCTTTCCTCGAGCCTCCAGGAGGATGAAAATGGCCTCCCTGGATTCCGGAGGCTTTCTGGAAACCGGAAATGCACCCATTTCTGCCCTTCTCGAATTTCCGGAAGGCCCATTTTTCACCCTCCCCAAACTTCTGTGCGTGCCCTGTACTTACCTGCATCCAAAATGGGCCACATGGGGACTCCTGGGAGGGGAGGGGAGGGGTGGGCAGAGCCAGCCAGGAGTGGGATGTCCAAACTGCACTGAATCTTAGCTAGGGGCTCTCCCGAACCCCTGGGAATCCCTAGCAGCCCAGCCCTGATTGTGCTGTCTCTATATAGGGGTAGTCCTTGATTTACAACTGTTCATTCGGCAACTGTTCCAAGTTACAAGGGCACTGAAAAAAGTGACCTACAACCAGTCCATGCACCTAAGACCATTGCAGCATCTCCAAAGTTATGTGCCCCAGATTTGGGCGCTTAGCCATTGATATAGGTATTTATGATGATTGTAGCAACCCCCCAAGTCATGTGATCATCATTTGCCATCTTTCCCAGCTGGTTTCTGACAAGTAAAGTCAATGAGGGAACTTGGATAAAGCATTGTCAGGTGCAAACGTTCAGCACCATTTGTGTAGGTTGCAACAGAAACGATTTATTGAAGCCTACACACAGGAATCTGGTCGACTAAATTGGCACTGTATTAGGACCAACAAAGGGGCTGGAGTTGGATCATTTGTGGCAACATAAGGACTCTGAACTGATGAGATGTTTTACTCCACCTTCCAACTCTGCCTGCTTGTCTCCTATAAATATTTCCCCTTTGTCGATGCTATGTTCTGATGCTATCTCATTGTCTTCTTTTTTTGTTGTTGAAAAAAATTCCAGATCACTTTGACCACATAAAGAAAATTGCAGGTTCAGTTTCAATAGGAATTGGCGGTGACTATGATGGAGAATTTCGGTTAGTAAGTGGATACAGTATTGTTTGGTGGTGTGCAAAACATTTCCCTTTCAAATTATTAGAGTTTGAAATGTAATTCATATTCAATCATTTGAGAAGTGTTTTGAACTCAAAATAATTCTGTTTTCTGAGCCCCGAAGACCTTAAACAACATTTGAATCAGTCCAATTCAAAAGCAAAACCATTCTTTTGAAAGGGAAACGGAACATTTTATATCCAAAATGAGTCACCTTTGAACTTCTTTGCACATTGTTATCAGGTATTTCACAAATGTATGGAAACCTTAAAGAGGTGCTCCAAACCGCCACTTTTAGTATCCCCAAGAAGATTTAATATTTTTAGTTTGATGATTATACTAAACTGATATCCTTTTCATCAAAATTAAGTGAAATTACACTTGAAAAACCAGCTGCTTTCTCCTGGTGCCATCCATTTTTAGAAATTTCACCTCCTAATGTGCCAAGCCCAATGAAATCTTCAGTCCCCAAAAGAATTCAGAATATCTGTTATCTCTTTGATTCTTTAAGCAAAGTTACATAATCAGAAGGAAATACGTGCAACTCGGGGTTGAACTGTGGAGTCCTTGATATCTCTGGAGATTCTCGGTCACCCAGGTCACGCTTGTCCCAAAGTGCTTTTCAAAAGGCAACTGGACTTGTTTTTTTCCTTGAAGATGTTTCACTTCTCATCCAGGAAGCTTCTTCAGTGGGGGCCTTGGTGCTCTCTGAGTTTGGCTGTTTGCTTGCAAATGTTTCATTGTCCAACTAGGTAGCACATTCAGTGCTAGTGAGCATGATGTTTGCGCTCGGTTTATATACAGTAGCTTGTCCTGCCACTGTTGCTGGGATTGTGGTAGGTAGGTAGCAATAGCACTTAGATATATATACCACTTCACAGCGCTTTACAGCCCTCTCTAAGCAGTTTATAGATTTGGCCTCTTGCCCCCAACAATCTGGGTCCTCATTTTACCCACCTCGGAAGGCTGAGTTAACCTTGAGCTGGTGAAAATCAAATGCCGAACTGCTGGCAGCCAGCAGTCAGCAAAAGTAGCCAGCACTACTGCATTCTTAAATTAAATAGCAAGTTTTGTGGTACATGCTGGCACCCTTCTGAATGAACAATGAGTCATAGCTAAGCAGAAGTGCGCATGTATGACAATCAACTATTGACTGTGACCTGTGGTGGAATTCAGCCAGTTCGCATCCGTTCGAGAGAATCGGTTGTTAACTTTCTGAGCAGTTTGGTGAAGTGGTTTTTGGAAGAAATCATTAGAACAGAGAACTGGTTGTTAAATTATTTGAATCCCACCACTGACTGTGACGTTCTTTGTCCTATCACTAGCCTCAAATTAAAATTCACCTACTACTTTTGATATTTTTTCTATCCAGGAAAGTATATTTTGTCCTTCCCCTCCACAGGGTAGATATGGAGAAGTGGGCTAGTCATAGCATTGACACAAGTCTTTTTCAGGAAAATCATTACATGAATGGTAGTTTTATGGTGTGAGAATGTTTTGCAGATTTTTAAATATCTGTGAAAATAACCCTGCTCTATCCAAAAGGGACCCTTTATATTTATCCTAACCTTATCAAAAATCATTTAGATCTGACAAACCATTCTAAAAAACATTCTGACAAACCATTCTAAAAAAAAACACACACACAAGGTGCAACTGGATAAAAATATTGGAATTGCCCAGCTCCTTTCTTTAAAAATACATTTATAGAATGTTTGTGAGTCTCTCATAAGCAGCCATTTTACTAGAGGCAAAAGCCGACAATGAATTTTCTTACTTCCTAATCTGGCTGTGGTTTTGCTAATAAATAGACATTTAGTCTGTGCCACTCATGTCTTGACTGACAGATTTCCTAAGGGACTGGAAGATGTTTCAAAATATCCAAACTTAATTGAAGAACTGCTGAGGAGAGGCTGGACCAAGGAAGAACTTCGTGGCGTTCTGAGGGAGAACTTACTTCGTGTTTTCAAAGAAGTAGAAAATGTAAGAGCTTCTCATTCTATGACATTTGATTCTTAGCTTTGCTCTTTAAGCAATATTAATTGCTGATGACACACACCATAAAATGCTACTTCTCTTGGTTCAAGGATGGCAACAAGCTTGGCGTGAGCCTAGAGTGGTCCCAAAGAGTGAGATGGGTGGTACACAAAGGTCATAAATGTGGTTTCAGATGTTTGTATTTTATGCAAAGGGATTTGTGAGTTTGGCCCTAACTCTGAACTTCCCTAGGTGAAGAAGAGCTTGCAAGAGAAGGCAAGTGAAGTAGAAATCCCACTTGAACAGGTGGATCAAGACTGTCGCCTACAGCTGAGACCCCCAGCTTCATCAAGGAACAATTCCTGTAGATTGATTTGCATGGGGCTACTCAAAAGCCTCGTGTTCGCTCTGGGAATGTACATGATGTTACCCTGATCTTGATTCTGACAACGGTGCCAAGGGCTGCTTCTTCCAAAGTTAAGATACAGTAGTTACGAAGAACAACACTACTAATTGCCACTAAGTCTGGGACCTTCAATGCTTCCTGCTTCATTTTGCACAAAAGGCTAAAAGAATGAGCCAAAGCAGTCGTGGGGTTCAAAAAATTTCTACTACCGGTTCTGTGGGCATGGCTTGGTGGGCATGGCATGACTTGGTGGGCATGGCTTGGTGGGCGTGGCAGGGGAAGGATACTGCAAAATCCCATTCCCTCTCCACCCCACTAACCTGCTTTCCAGCTCCATTCTCCTGTGCAGGGCAACCAAAGAAGACCCAGCCAATCAGCTGGGACTTGGGAGGCAGAAAAGAGGTGGGGGAGGGGCCAGTCATAGTTGGGATTTGCCGATTCTCTGAACTACTCAGACTTTTGCTACTTTTCGTGCATGCAGCCAAAAACAGAAGAAGAAAGAAGCAGGAAGAAGCAGCCAGGTGGCCAGGCCAGGTGCATGGGGCGAGTGAGGCAAGTCCCCACCTCTGCCCTTTCCCCCCTCACTACCTTGTGTTGTTCTCAATGCAAGCGACACAAGCTTTGTATTCCCGCGCAGCCTGGATTAATTGCACTGGGGAAGACATTTCTCTGCGGATCACCAAAATTTTATCGCGGATCACCAGTGGTCCCCAGCCCACTGGTTGACAACCACTGCTCTAGATTAGATTTAACACTGAGGTTAGGCCATTGTCTGAAGACCTCAAGACTCTGTCAGATATTTTTTTTTTAAGTTTTTATGAATCAAATAATCAATAGGCCAACATTTGGAGATTGCTTGGATGGAAAAGCGAGAATAAATTCTTTCTAGCCCGTCTTATCTCTTATTTATAGTTAAATGTTCTATTAGTTTTAGAAAGACCTTGCTATTAGCTGCTTTATGCAATCTTAAATAAATTTTAATTCATTTAAATTTAAATGCATATTAAATGAACCATGTATGCAATAAATGTCAACTGAGAACTGGATTAAAAAGCAACATTTAGGAGACTTTGATTTGATCTGATTTGATTATTTAAGGGAAGGAATACAGGAACACGTAATCTGGATGCTGCTGGTTTAACAACAACTGAGGGAGCCAATGTTGCCCGAGGAACTCTGTTACTTTCCCACGGAAGTAGTATCTATTTATCTACTTGCATTTGCATGCTTTGAACTGCTAAATGGGCAGGAGCTGGAGCGAGGAACGGGAACTCATCCCACCACACGGTGCTCAGATCTCAAACCTGGGCTGTCACCTTTCCAGCTGACAAGCTCAGCATCTTTAACCACTGAGTCATCGCAGCCCCATAAGATATAAGAGATGCCACCAAAATGAGGGGGTTTGGAGAGGGTTATTTTGGCCAATCTGCAGTTGGCAATAAGCAAATATTTAGTTTGTTTAAAATGTGTCTCTGTTTGTTATTCTGCTGAATGTACCAATAACTGTAAGGGTGATCCTGCAAGATCTTTTCCATTCTCAGTTTATTTTAATAGATAAATATATTTAGTAACTTTTTCCAATTCTTTTGTTTTGTCCCTGCCATCCCCAGATACTTCCACAACTACAAAGTTGCCTTTTTCAGATATTTTTATATTTGGTGTGTTGTTGTATTCTAGGTAACCATCTGTTTGTATATAGTAACTCCAGGAAATGTTAACATTGTTTTCCACAAATTTACTGTAGCAATGCATCACATTCAGGAAATGATAGCTTGAGCACGAATGCCAGTAGATCATCATGGCTATCCTGCCATGTCATTGTTTATAATCAGCCTGCGTTTCATCCACTCATGACATAATCCTCCTTTCATCCTCTTTTACTAAAACAAATAAACCAAAAAAATATCTGCCTGTGCTGCTGATGAATCCTTGATTTCACCACATTCTTGGCATTGCTTTTTCTTACACTGCAGAAATTAACCCATCTGTTCCCTTCCTTATAGCTATTGTCAATTCCTGGTCTTGCCCACTTTGTTTTCATTTTTTTTTTTACGTACCAAGTCCAGTGGTGGGATTCATTTTTTTTTTACTACTGGTTCTGTGGGCGTGGTTTGGTGGGCATGGCTTGGCTTGGCATGGCAGGGGAAGGTTACTGCAAAATCCCCATTCCTCCCCACCCCACTAACCTGCTTTCCAGCTCCGTTCTCCTGGGCAGGGCAACAAAACAAGACCCAGCTGATCAGCTGGGACTCGGGAGGCAGAGAATAGATGGGGTTGGCAGGGCCAGTCAGAGGTGGGATTTGCCGGTTCTCCGAACTACTCAAAATCTCCGCTACCACTTCTCCAGAACAGATCAGAACCGGCTGAATCCCACCTCTGGAGCACGCTATGCTTTACTTACTTTTCCAATTTTCAACCAGTTTTTTGACTTGTTCATTGTCATGGTCCTGTTTTGTGTCTGCCATTTTAGCACGTTTTCTTTGCAAACTTTGATTATCATTATCTCTTTGTTTGCCTTGATGTCATTATTTCATCCACATTTTTCCTCTTACTTGCAGTAAACCACAACCTCTGATTTTTCATGCTAAGTATTTTCAAACAGAGCTATATATTTAAATGGAGCTTTGTGCAATAAATGCGAGCACCCTCTGCTGGTGGAAAAAGAGTTGCATGAGCAAGCTTGCCCTCTGCTGGTGCAGCCTGGTTCTGAATGGGCTGCAGCCCAGGACCAGGCTGTGGCCTGGGTAATGGGGACCCCTGCTCTAGGCTGATTCCACTTTTGACTCCACTTCCAGGTTCGGCTACTCCTTTTCCTGCAGACAGGCACCAATGGACAGAAGTGTAATATATGACAAGAAAAGAAAGAATTTTGGTGGCATAGTGGTTAAAATAGGGACATGGTGGCTCAGTGGCTAAGACGCTGAGCTTGTCTATCAGAAAGGTTGGCAGTTCAATGGTTCGAATCCCTAGCACCGCATAACGGAGTGAGCTCCCGTTCCTTGTCCCAGCTTCTGCCAACCTAGCAGTTTGAAAGCAGGTAAAAATGCAAGTAGGAAAATAGAGGCCACTTTGGTGGGAAGGTAACAGCGTTCCGTGCGCCTTCAGCATTTAGTCATGCCGGCCACATGACCACGGAGACGTCTTCGGACAACGCTGGCTCTTTGGCTTTGAAACGTAGATGAGCACCGCCCCCTAGAGCCGGAAATGACTAACACATATGTGTGAGGGCAACCTTTATCTTCACCTAGTGGTTAAAATGCAATATTGCAGGCTAACTCTGCTGACTGCCTGCAGTTCGATCCTGATGGACTCAAGGTTGACTCAGCCTTCCATCCTTTTGAGGTGGGTAAAATGAGGACCCAGATTGTGGGGGGCAAGAGGCTGACTCTGTAAACTGCTTAGAGAGGGCTGGAAAGACTATAAAGTGGTATATAAGTCTAAGTGTTATTGCTACTGCCCTTCCTTCCTTCCCTTCCCTTCCCTTCCCTTCCTTTCCTTTCTTCCATCCATCCATCTATCCATCCATCCATCCATCCATCTATCCATCCAATCATGATGTACAATGCTTAGAAGGCAATGCTGCAGGCTGACTCTGCCTGCTGCCAGGAGTTCAATCCTGACCAGCTCAAGGTTGACTCAGCCTTCCATCCTTTTGAGGTGGGTAAAATGAGGACCCAGATTGTTGGGGGCAATGTGCTAACTCTGTAAACCACTTAAAAGAGGGCTGTAAAGCACCAAGAAGCAGTATATAAGTCTAAGTGCTATTGCTATCAGCTCTGTCTGACTGCTGATGCTTCACATCTTCCAGTGGAGGATTACTTGGACACCTGGATCTTGCAGAGAGTTTTCAGATCTCTTTAGATCAGGCTGCATCTAGACTAGGCCTGAGTTCCAAAAGACTTTTGGATTTAAGCAGCTGCGAAGTAGGTGATTACGGACGTTCACCTGAGTATTAATCTATGCTCAGAAACTCACTAATCTTAGAGACCTTATAATGTTCACTGGGTTTCGACAAGGTGCAAATAGGAGGATCAGGACCAGATTTACTTTTCTTGGTTAATGTTTGGAAGTGGGAACACTGCAGGTGCGAAAATGCCTCTAGTCAGGACTTAGTTATTGTTTAAGTAGTAGAAACTTTTGCAAAAAACAGCAACAAGGGCTGAAAAAACCATAATGATTCATTGATTTAATTAGTCTAAAGTCATATGCTGGATGGTAGTGCCCTCTGGTGATTTTTACTAAAGAATTTGTCAGCCTTCAAGATCTTTTCTACTGCTTTGCATCTTTTGGCTGCAATAAGTAACGGGGGGAGGGGTAATGTCTGGGAAGAGAGCTGGAGGTGTTACATTCTTGTCCTGTATAAATAAGGAGGGGGGGGGGAGTATAAATTCCTGCTCTTAAGTTTCTATTCCTTGCTTAGCCTTCTTTTCTCTGCGCAACTGCAAATCTTTATCAAAATATGTCAAGGTCAACGGACAGAGGCCTCATCACCACCTGAAGATGCCCACATGACCATATCCAGAACTTTTGATTGGAACAATCTTTTGAACTTTGAGGGGTGGGAACAATTCCATCCCTTTGTATATGTGATCTACGCACCTAATTTCTTAGATTCAGAATTTTACCTGAAGCTACCACTTCAAATTTCAGTAAAAGATTTCTTTCCTCTAATCTATGGAGTCTAAGTATTTCTTTCTTGGATTTTGAATGGAGCACAGACTGACAGAATTGTTCTCTTCTCTTCTACTCTACTCTACTCTACTCTACTCTACTCTACTCTACTCTACTC